TAAGTGACTGCAGAATATGCTTTATATTCTTAACATCAGTATAATCTTATCCACAGAAAACTTAGCGTAAATGCAGAAGTTTGCTGTGGGGCACACGGTCAAAGTGACAAATGAGAAAGTCTGTTGTCTTAGCTCAAATATATCTAGATTTAGGTGACGAGGTTACTCACTGATTGGACGCGTTAAGTGTGTTCTATATAAGGTCAAGCATAAGAGATATACTACGTAGCGAGAATATGGGAGGTTTATCTATTAACTTTATCTACTAAAATAGGTAAACATGCAACCGGCAAGCGAACTTCTACAGTTTTGTTTAAACGCTCTAACGCTACCTACGCGATTGAAAATCCGAAACAGTCTAGTAGTATCATCGGACGTACTGCTCGAAGGCAGAAAATTGCATTCTGTCATTCGGCTTTGTCAAGCGTTGGCATTCAGGAAACGCCGCCGCCACCGTCCCCGACCGATACCCCATTCCTTATATTCACGATGCTGCATAAATGCTGGTCAGAAAGGCTATTATGTGTAAACTAACTTCGATCGAGCGTACCACCAAATAATGGTCGTGGAGGAGGATATTCTTAAGACCGTTGATACGTCTTTTGGTCTATTCAAATTGTTTCGCATGCCTTTCGGTTTCGTGGATAATATCTTACGCGGTCTCCCCTTTACGTTCGTGAACACTGACGACATTCCAGTGCTAAAATGAGGGCTCGGTTGACGCAAGGAAAGATGGTCAGTAGTTCATCTAATGAACACGGGGCATCCAATAATAGTATTGCCTACATGCAGGCACTAAGTTGGTGTTAATGACATACATGTCCGAGGAGTAGTGATGCAGTGTGGGCGTGGTGTTCGCTGCTGCCCGAAGGCCGTGTAGCTCCTGACGCCACAGACAAGGTCACTCAGAGCATAGGACCTTACGCGAATATACTTTTCGGCTTGCCTCAGACGAGACACAAACCGGCGCACGAGACACCTTCGTGCGGTCAAACCAATGCCCACTAAGATAGAGCGAGGATTCGGCGGCAGCCCGTGATTACTGACGCCAGAACTCACTCAGCATTCCGCCCCTGAGCGGGGCGGACACGTCGATGATATCCACACGATTGAATGCAATGCTACACCGAACCACTCTTTGTCCTAACTATTCTCCTATCGTTCTGCAGAATAAACCATTCCTTACAATATGCCCTCCCTAAAACTTGTCTCATCTCCTAAGGAACCAGGCCTGAAAAATCGCAGCCGTAAGGGTTAAACGGTAATAACCGTAACATTTCGCGATATGGGATGTGATGGCGGGTTCTAATCTTTGTGTTGGTGCTCCCGGCACCAGCCCACCAGTCCTTGTGCGATGGATACGCAGGTGACCGGCAAGGCCGATGCGGGGGGGAACGTGCGGTTGCAGTAAGGGCATATTAGGCCCTCAGAGCCGATACAGGGTTCAAGTGTGGGGATGCGGGTTCTGATAGGCGTTAAAGCGTCGGAGGAGGTAGAGGAATTTGCAGGTGGGGTGAAACCGGTGGGTGAGGGCAGCGAGGCACCTGTTTTGACGATTTTTGCCGTCAACTTGCAGGGCAGAAAAGGGTCTGTTGGTGGATTTGACGCTTTAGACGTGGAGGCCGTCGGAGGGTGGTGCAAGGCTTCCGACGGTGGCCGATCAAGCCGATGCGTGCGCAGAAGATGCGCTGATAACCATGTTGAAAGGGCTTGGACAGTGACAGTGTGCGTCTGTTGATTGTGAGACTTGCGAGCCGTGTGTTTTGCCTTGGCGGCGGCAATCCAACTGGCTTCGTACATTGCTGCGCCTGTCTTTACCCTTCTTCTGCAAGCAGATCGGTCCTGGGCTATTTCATCCCAGATTGCCAAGTTGATTTGGAGACGCTTCAGAGAGTTCTTCAGAACGTCTTTGTAGCGCCTCCTTTGTCTGCATTTGCGACAAAAACCTACAGTGACATCTCTATAAAACAGTCTCTTTGGTCGTTGGTTATCGGCCATCCACACCAGGTGAGCGCTCAAGCGCAGTTTTATGTGCCTGAGCATGGCCTGAATGCTGACAACTGACGTTCTCTGCAGGACTTCCGTGTCCGGAATCATTTCCTGTCAGGGTATCTTCAGTATCCGG